CTGATGCAACCCAAGAAGGTACCACTGAGCAGAGCCAGGTTCAAGCGGAGCAGAGCCCGGTGGTGGCTGGCCTACACGCTCCTCAACAACCCCTCGCTGATGGCTTGCCGGAAAACTGCCCTTTCCGACCCCACGGCCAATGGCACCCAGCTCAGCCCCCCAAAGCCCTGAACTCCAGAGGAACCTTTCACCTCTCTCTGCCTCCTCCACACGCTTCCATCCTATCTCATCCCTGTCTCCCATTGACTCTCCTCCTGTGCTGGCAGGAGTTTTGGGCACCTCTTGCCCTTCTTCAGCTTCCAGTCCCCCTCCAGTGGTGATGGAGGCTGGTTTGTAGCTCTGGGTCCATGCTGAGCTACTACCAAGGTCCAGAGGTGAAGACACAGCCAAGGCAAATGGGTCACCTCCAAGCCTGACCTGGATGGAGAGGGGTTGATAAACCAAGATAAACCTTTCAGGCATCTCAGAAACATCCTCTTAGGAGTCACTCCTGCAGTGAGCCCACCAGTTCTCAACAGTTGTCTTTCTGACATGGGGCAAGGCAGGCACAAGTCCCCAGCACCAGGGCAGTGAGGAAGAGGGAGAAGTTGTGTGTTTGTGTGTGTGGAGGGATCCTCAACCAGACTAAGCATAAACTACCCACATCTCAGCGTGGTCTCTCTATGGAGAAGGTCCCTGCTACAAGCCTCATCCACAACTTCTCCCTTTCAGGTCTGATCCTGGCTCTCCTTGGGCACCATACCGAACTCTGGGACTTTTTTTTCCTCCCAGCCTTGTGAAGGCCAAAATCCCCATCTGCTCTGCTCTGGGCCATGAAGTTGCAGAGCCATTTGTTTTCTGCTCCCCATAATTCTTATCCCCCCAAAATGTCTCTTGCTGCCACCCCCTATTTTGTTTAAAGCCAGTGGGTCCCCAGGGCTGGTGACCCTCCAAGTGAGTTGAGCTTGAATCCATAGAAAGCAGTTTTACTCCTTGCTTGGATGTGCCAAGTCGAGGAAGAACAATAAATCACATACCTCATTCCTACACTTGGGGTGTGCTTGGTCTCTTGGCTGTTCCCGAAGAAGCCAGACCTGGCAGGAGGGACACAAGGACTGTCATAGCTGTAGCTCTGGGTGGTGGTTGGGACTAACCTTGATCTGACCGTGTGGAGAGGAGGCTTTGCAGTAGATCTGCTGGACTTGAGGGTGATGGGACTAAATCTGTGATCCTCCCCCCTCACTTCAGGGAAATCTTAAAGCAAAGCTGACCAGTTTGTTTTCCCATCAAAACAATGTTTGGCCCCTAAACCACAGCTCCCATGAAGGACAGGAACTGAAACAGGACATTTGGTGGCTAAAGCACCAAAGGTAGGTATCCAGGCTGTTGCTGCATCATCTCTTCCCTTGATGTGTCCCTTGAAGCCAAATCCTGCCTTTGGTGGCTGGAAGGATTCCTGGTGTCAGCCCACCATTGGTGGCAGGGCTTGTGTCAGGTTGAACCAGTGGCTCCTTATTCTTCTTGACACCATCTCAAACACCTCAGCCTTGCTAAAGCAGGTGTCTTGGAGACTTGGCAGCCCCTGCATGGAGCGGGGCTGCTGTGCTATCCCCTCTGCTCAATAGGGTTGAGCCCCTCACCCCAGGGATCTCCTTGGAGGTGAGTAGACCTGCTCCTTGCAGGCTGTCAAGGACCTCATCCCCTCTTGCTGGGTTCCTTGTGGTGTGCAGAAGGGATGACTGCTGGCACTGTGGTGTGGTTGAGTTTTTGGGGTTTACCTGGCATCTCCACATAATATTGAAGCTTCCTGGGTGGGAACCAGCCCCTTCCCCAGGATCCTGACCTTCTCCCTTTCCATTACAGTGAAGAGGGTCCCTGCCTTCATCTCCTGCCTGCAGGCACTGCCCCAACAGCCCCTGGTACGCTTGGGTGCTCAAAGCCTTGTTGTGTGTGCAGCCTTGACCATCACTATTTTAATCACATTTGATTGCTGTCTGGCACGTAGTAGAGTGTTACTAAACTGGGTGACAGCAGTGATCTGGCTGCAGATCTGGATTGTTTTCTTTTTAAGACAGCAGGAACCTAA